GAGCCCCCTTTTCCCATCCAGAGGTAATAAACCCAAAGCTGATGGTTACAGACATTCCCAGCACATAAAAATTACAGGAAGCTGTTGCTAAGTAATATTTCTACCTAAGTAAACACCACAAAAACGTTTCCCACACACACCTCTGAACTTTGTTATTCCAACCTGCCTTGAAGATGGTTCAGGGCTGCAGAGTTTCTGCTGGCGCTGCTCTCTCTGCAAGTGAGATTTCACAGCAGTTGAAAGACATTTCAGGCTGAGCAATCTCTCCCTCAGTGCTTTGTGCAACTCAGTTCCTCACCTTGTCCCCTGTCTGTCCCAGAATTTTCCCTGGGTAAATCACAGGAAAATTAAAGAGAGATTCTGTTGTGTCCCTTAGTCTCCATTACACCTGCTTTCCCAACATCACAGAAAAAAAAATATCATGGAATATCCTGAGCTGGAAGAGATCCACAAAGGTCAGAGTCCAACTCCTGCTTTGCCCCCAGAATCACAGCCCAAACTCTGGACAAACATTATTGTTTCTGCACAGAATCTTTCTTTAGCAGCTCCTCTGCATGTCAATTATTCCAGACTGTCATCCCTTCCATCTGCTGTTTTATCTCCTCTTCAATGGGCCCTAATTGTTCCACATACTTTCCACAAATTTAGTATTCTGCCACAACTTCCAAATTGCACTAATTGAGAGGCAACTTTTGTTTTTAACCCACAAAAGCAAGATAATAAACGAAAGAAAAGAGTCCATTGACAGACCTGGAACGGCCCACACGCTCAGGAACTCAAATTTCCCGGTAACGAGAAATCCCGAGACCAAGAACGGATTCCTGCAAAGGTTTCATTCAGGATGAACAGAACTGGAATTTCATCATATCCTCTAAAGAATGAAGAACTATAGAATGAATAGAATTTCATAGGCTGGATGTCAGGGAGAAATTCACTTTTTAGTTTAAAACCATTCCCCTTTTCCCTATCACTATCTGGCCCTATAAAAAAAAAAAAAATATTTCAGATATCCATCCTTCTATTCCAGGAATGTGGCCCTTCAGTATCCACCAAGGGACTGCCTGAGATTGCAGATGATTTTCCTGGTAACTTTCATCTGGCCATTCTACTTCTCCTTCCTATTACCTTACTCCACTTCCAGATGACCCAAAATGCAATAAAAAGCTGAACTCGCCTTTCTAATTACACCGACAAACCCAGCAAACTGCTCCAAGTTCTGTGTGGACAGAGCAGCCTGAATGAGGAGGGAATTGGCAGGAAATCCTATTTCAGAGGGAATTGTTCCTTCCTCAAGTGGAGTGACAGACATATAGGGGAAAAAAAAAAAAAAAAGTGGAAAAAATGCAAAATATGAAAATCATGTTTGGCAGATCCAGACTGAGGTCTAGGACGTGGCATTTCCAGCATTTTTGTTGTCTGCATTCTTCAGCAAAGACTCTCTCTGCAGCAACGTGCTGCTCAGAACCAAAAAAGAGTGTTTTTATGGCAATAAAAGTAAGAACATATGGGGGGAAAAAAAAAAACGTTAAAAATGTGAGCGGAGAGGTACAAAACCCCCAGAGCAGGAACAGCACTTGGCTGCCATAAACAGCATCAGGCTAGATCCAAATTCCAACCAGACTACACATTTCCCTCCCTTCCTACCCAAAATATAACATGAGTTGGCCTCAACTGAACCGACTTGCTTTTCACACCAACACAAGAGATTTAGGGGGAGTAAAATAATAATAATAAAAAAAAAAGCAAATAAAACCCTGAGGAAGCACATCCTGACAGCTCCCAATCCACAGCGGATCCACCTACACAGCCCTGCTCTCAGACACAGATTCCTCAACATTGGAACTGGTTTTTCAAAGGGTGCAGCTGCCCACAAGTGATTTCAGTTCCTCCCCGCTGGTTTCGTCCCGAACCTTCTCTCCAAGGCCTGGAAGGAGATCCTTTACTTTGTTGTCTCCAATGTGTTATCAACAAGGGAAAAAAAACCCAAAATTTCCAGGCTGGAATTGGAGCTGCAAGGATGATTCAGAGCCTTGGAGAGGATTCTGTGCTGTAACTCAGAGTCAATCCTGGAGTTAACCGGGATCTTTGTGCTGATTAAATAAAATATCCCTGTCCCCAAGTGCTGCATCCACACATTTTCTGAGCACTTCCAAGGACGGTGGCTCCACCACTGCTCTGGTCAGCCAGGTCCAATGCTTTCCAGCCCTATCCATGAAAAAATATTCCCTAATATCCAACCTAAAACCTGCCCTCTGGCAACCTGAGGCCGTTTCCTCTCATCCTGTCACTTGTTACCTGGGAAAAGTCCAATCCCCCAACCTGGCTACACCCTCCTGGCAGGGAGTTAATTTTCTGTGACACCTTTCAGCCTTCCCCACACGTGCTCTCCCAAACTTCTTGCCCATCTGATTTTCTCCAGTGACTCTCCCAAGTCTTTCAGGCTGGAAAAGCTGCTCAGTTTGGGACTTGGCTCCGTCAATCGACACACGTTCTGTCGCATCAAAACCATCAACATTTACATCTCCTTTGGGGTTTTTTCCCCAGTCCCAGGGCAGCAGTGCTCTCCAGCAGCGCTATGGGGCTCAGACAGCAACAACTTCCCATCCTGAGATGCAAAATAAAAAATAGGAAAACTGGAGATTCTGCACCAAAACAAAGCAGGGGCACAAATAACCTGCCTCAAAACAAACACACAGGGCCAAACTTCCCTATGAAAATGATCCTGAAATTGCTGAGTTTAGAAAAAGAAGAGAAAAAATAAAAGAGAACACACTTAAAACCAGAGAGGCAGGAGAATTCAGGCCTGTTTCAGCTGCTGAAGATTCCCAGATAAGCTGCAAAAACGCAGAGGGAAAGATTTCACGCCGTGAATACCCCCGGTACTGGGAGCTGCTGTGAGGCTCTCCGGGCTAAGGAAAGCCAAAATGCAATTCACACAAGCTCTTAATAATCTTGACACAACAATTACACATGCTAAGGATACATTATGGGCTGGCAGGAGAACAGAGGACGCAGCGATTCCACCGGCAGGTTCGCTAAATAAACGTCCCTTAATCTCCACCAGCGTGTGCTCAGAGCCTAAAGGCTCCTCACAAAACGGCCTGGAAGGTCCAAAGGACCACTCAGGTCGTCAAAATAACTCCAGAAATACACAGGGAAGGTGTCCCAAGGCACAGGATGACCCACACACATCCCCCCCGGTGCTGGAAACACCAGCTACCAAAAAATTCAAAGTAACAAATCCTGAGGTTCAAAACCAAAGATAAGCCCGGCTCGTTAAGTGGTTTGGGAAATGCAGCCCAAATATGCGGGAGCACTGATTGTCCACGGCTTCTGCGAGGGAAATCAGATGGGACCATCCGTGTACGGTGACTTTTGGAACCGTCTTCCAGTTTAAATCTCAATTTCTGGGTCAAACAGACGTAGCAAGCGAGCTCAGTCACTGTTGGTCCTCCAACAAACTCAGTGAACGTTTACCAGAGGGCTGAGGAGCTGAGATTCCTGTCCCAGTGGTGGAACATCACATTCCTACAGGTTTCATGGATGCAGGCAGTTGTATAAAGGAGAGAAACAATACATTCCCGTCTGCTGCAGCCCAGAAAAAATTCCCAGGAATGAGGGACACCACTGAAAAAGTGTCACTTGGACCTTTAACCTCATGAAACAGCAGAAAGCAGAACAAATTAAATGCATAAGAAACTACATTTCAGTGCTGATATAACTGTACCCCCCAAAGTTTATAAATAGGATTCCTTTTTTTTTTTTTTCTCATTTTAAAAAAAGGAACACACGTACACACTTGCATCTTCTTGCTCCTACCCTGTTATTCTGGCCACAAAAAATAACCACTTTCTTTAAAAGGAAGCTGGACAATTTTGGGGTGAGGAGCAGCGGAGGGGAAACCACATTAATTGCATTAGTTTGTGCACACTGGGAGGAATTCCTCCTGAAATTTGGCACTCAGCACTCAAGAGCTGCCCTTTAAAGCTTGGCAAGAAATTCTCCCCAGCCCACAGGTTTCCTAATTTCGTCTCAGGACACACTGGTTCATTGGGATGCTCGGCCTCCAGAAAGGCAGACAAACCCTCAATGTGTCAGTCTCACCTCAGTTCACTTCTGCTCCCCGTCAAGTCAGATTTGACATGAATCAAGAGTAAATATATAATTAAAGCTAAACTTAAGGTCAGGTCCAAGTTCAGTAAAAACAAATCTGCACGAAATTCAAAGCAACTCCAGCAGAGTTTGAGAATTGGAGTTCAGGGAGCTTTCTGAACACCCCTTCTCCCCTGAACCAAAACCAGACCCCATTATTTCACCCCCCACCCCAGCCAGGTCCTCTCTCCTCCTTCCCTTTTCCCCTTCAGGTCTGACTTGGCTTCCTGCTTCTCACTCTGTGCAAGCACTGCTCGATGTTTTTACAGCAGGAGGGTTTCAGGAAAAATGTTATTGCCCCTTTCCAGGGTCAGGTTTATCCCACAGAGGCTTTTCCCTGCTGTCCTGTTCCCATCTGCTGCAGCCTTTCCGTCAGTCTGGACTTTTAAATCCCCACACAAGCACCAACAGAGATATTCAGAGCACCAGCTACTATGCAAGACACCAGTTCCACTCACAGTCCACTAAAATGGGGTGTTCCAGGCAGTTCCTGACTCTCCAGAGAAACCAAAACACACATTTTGGGATCCCTCATATATGCAGGCGAAAGAACTTCTCAAACAGCCCCATCACAAAGGTCCTCTCATCACCTTCCAGTGCCAATTTTGAGCCTGGCTTTTAGGAACTTGTACTTAAGGGTAAGTAATCAACAGGTACCAACAGATCACAGAATGGTTTAGGTTGGAAGGGACCTTAGAGATCACCCAGTTCCCACCCCCTGCCACGGGCAGGGACACCTCCCACCACCCCAGGTTGCTCCAAGCCCCGTCCAACCCGGCCTTGGACACTCCAGGTGTTGGAGCATTCACAGACCCCTCTGGGCAACCTCTGCCAGTGCATCACAGGACCTGGAAGGTTCAAAACAGTGACAGCAGGCCCAGAGCTGAGCTCCAGCACCCTGCACTCACCCCTCTGGCAGCGATCGTGCGTCCAGCAGCGCTCGATGAAAATGCCGTTTATCACGGTGGGGGGGCAGTTGCTCTTCCCTTTCACGGTCCCAGGGCAAACATCTCCACACTCCTCCTTGTCATCCTTGTTGGCCACGATGTAATTGTCCTCTACAGAGTCCAGAATCCTCGACCAGTCGATGGTGGACAGGTAACACAGCTCGTTGTTCTTCTCGATCCTCACGGCGCCCCGGGTGATGTTCATGAGGTTGTAGAGCCCGATCTCCTTCAGGTGAACCATCTCGAAAATCACCAGGGCGTAGTTAAAGAACAGGTGAGTCCCCCTGATCACGGTGAGGTTGGGGAACAGGCCCTTCAAACTCTCCAGGCCGTACACACGGAAGAGCAGCAAGTAGTCCGTGATCATGGTCAGCTTGGGAAAGCTGAGCTCGCGGAAATCCTCCGGCTTGGTTTTAAACATCAGCAGGATCTGCAAGTGGCCCTCGATCACGGTGCAGTTCTCCAGCATGCTGAGCCGGGTCAGGTTGTTGCGGATGTCCATGCTCCTGCAAACTGGGAGGCAAAGGACAACCTTATTTATTTGTTTGTTTACTTATTTATTTATTTAAACAGAAGCTTAGTTGTTTTTTGAGCTTCTCAAACACAACGTTTTTTTGCCCGACTGCGCCGTAACCGGGACACGTGGCCCCCTCGGCAGAGCGGCCCTCGAGTGTTAAGAAATACACTGTGGGGAACATTCCCTGCTATTAACGGTTACAAAATAAGACTGGAAGAGCATTTCGTCATTTTTTTTTCTGCCATCTCGAGGGTCGGTCAGGCTGCTGCCCCTGTCACCGCTCGGGGGTAACACCAGACACCCCTCACAAAAGGAAGAGGCATCTGAGACAACCGGGGCTGTTTTCTTTAGGCAGCTGCCAGCGACACACCTACCCCGTGTGTCTCGGATTGTGCAATTAACGCCAGCGGATCACAGGGAGCGATTTGGAACAGCTGAAGGGAGGGGAAGACACCAAAAGAATAATGGCCAGAGGTGGCAGGGCTTGGGAAGGCAGCAGAAAAACCTGGAAATACAGCCAGGCAGGAGCACGGCCCACGCCTGTGCCCAGACTCTGCTGACAGGAGGCATTTACCACGTTAGTAATTTTTGCCCTGAGCATTCTTTTCAGATGAGGTGTTGGGGCTTTTTTTTTTTTTTTGTTATTATTTTCTCATGGGTGCAAAATCTCCCCTGCCTTGACTACCTGGGCAGTTTATTCAGCAGAACCAGTAAGCCAAAGAGCTGGCAAAAGTGAACAACTACAAATTAGAAGGTAAACAGAATAGTAGGAATCCAGGCACCAGCAGAAGGAAAAAGTTTGAATAGGGAAACATTTTTGTTAACTCTAAACACAGGTAAGTAATAAAGAAGGAAATTCAGAGCCCTGCACCAGCACAGCACAACAGAACTCCCAGAGACAACCCTTTTGAAATCAAAACTTCACAGAAACATCAGCCAGACCTTAAAATTCAAATCGAGGTGGATTCTTTATGAATTTTTCTTTTTTGAAAAGGGTTCTCCCTTTTGTCTAAAGCTTAGCCAGCACCTTCCCTCCCCACTTGAGAACAAGAAGCACAGGACCTTTTCCCTTTTTGTCACTGTATTTAAAGCTCACCAACACTAAAATCATCACATCACAGCTTCAAGAGATCACCCAGCAACAACCAGGCCTTACAGAACTGATGCAGACACAAATATTTCACTGTTAGCATTGCCTGACTCCTCCTGGTTTCACACAGCCCTCTGCTGCAGGGGTTAAAACCAAATTCTACGCAAATGTCTTCATGATTATTCAAAAATTTGTTCCACCGTAATTAAAAAAAAAAAAAAAAATTCAATTTGGCAACACCAATATGGGATCTGAAGCAACGCTCTTGCCCAATGGGACTTTTTGGCACTGTACCCACGTTGTTTCATAAATTGCTTTCTGGAAGAAAAAGTGCCTCAAAGATTAGGGATGTACTTGAAAAAGTGGGAAAGGAAGCAGCAACCTCTGCATCCCAGACTGGAAAGTAACTCCAAAGCTGTCCTGCTGCACATCCCACCCCTGGGCTAAAAGAACTGGGAGAGCAACATACCCTGAATATTTTTTTTTGCAATAAATAAGATTTGGCATTTCCAAGGAAGCAAGTGCACAACAGCACAGGGTAGTGGTTTCTTCACGAAAGGAGAAGTAACAGAAGGACAAATTAAACTCAGTGTACGAGTCACCACAACAGTAAAACTCAGGGAAATTCAAAACCCAACGTCTTGGTTCTCATTTATCAGTGGTCCTCATGACTGCTGAGCACACAGGCAGTGCTGAGGTGGTACCCAGGGCCAGCTCCTGTCTCACAGGATAAAGTCCTGCCTGTTGGAATGTGACCTTAAGGAAAAGGAAAGGGCAAAAAATACAGCTCAGCTCTCCAGACTAGGAATTACTCTGGGGAGTGAGAGCTCCAGGCTATTGCTGTGGCTCAAGGCCATGAGATGCAGATACACACTGAGCACAACTGCCTCAGTCTTTCATCCTTTTTCCTGGAATTAGGGAAGTCACCAGGAACTGGACACGAGCTGGCCCCAGACAAGCTCTTCACCCACAGCCATCCCTGCTCAGCTCCACGGAAAGAGAACCTGGAGCTCGGGTGGGAAGATCTCCAGTTTGGCACAGCCAGGGCCAGGCCCTCCTGGTGCTGTGGCTGCATCTCAGGCTGTGGAAATCTCCCTATTTTCCAGGAGCAGAGCTGAGGAACTTGGTGTGAAGGAGCTACTCTGGGTGGGAACTGCTGCATCACCTCAGGGTGGGTGCCCAGCACCAAGGGAATTTGGCAGAGGAACAGATGCACACCCAGCCAGACTTCCCAGAGAGGGTTATCATGGAATCACACAATGGTTTGGGTTGGGAGGGACCTCAAAGCCCATCCAGTCCCACCCCCTGCCATGGGCAGGGACACCTTCCACCAGCCCAGGGTGCTCCAAGCCCCATCCAGCCTGGCCTTGGACACTTCCAGGGATCCAGGGGCAGCCACAGCTTCTCTGGGCAACCTATGCCAGGGCCTGCCCACCCTCCCAGCCAGGAATTCCTTCCCAATATCCCATCTAACCCTGCCCTCTGGCAGTGTGAAGCCATTCCCCCTTGTCCTGTCCCTCCATCCCTTTTCCAAAGGTCTGCTCTGCTCCCATCAAGCCCCAGCCTGGTCTCTGCAGCCCTGGAGATCCCAGCTCTCCCCACTTCCCTAAAGACTCAAATCCAGTTAAATTCCACTGTCCATGAACCTGATCCAAATCATTCCAGGCTTCCAGAGATGACCACTAACACAGGCCATGCTGCTCCTGGCCCAAACAGCCTGAAAAGCTGCTCAAAAGATCCTCCAACCTCCTCCAAAAAATCCAACCACTTAAAACACCCACCCAGGACACAACACAAACCTCCCTCCCCTTCAGCTCTCCCCTTCCCAGCACAGATTCCCCACTGGAGGTGGCCAAAGCCTGAGAACACCCAGTATTTTGAGGAGATGTGTGAAAGAGCAAAGCTTTGCTGAAGCTGCATCTAAAAAGAGACAGGTGGGGCTTTTGAGAAGGTAAAGAATCATGTAAATCTCCCAGAGCTGGGAGTACAACATCCACAATCCATCAGCTGGTCGCGTTTTACAACTATTTTTTTTTTCATTTTTCACCCATTTCAAGCCCAAGACAGAATGCATTAGTGGCCATTGACTGGCAAACCAGGATGTCCCCTGAGTTATCCAAACTCTGCTGCTCCCAAAGCTGAGCAGCAGCAGCAGTGGGATGATGGAATGATGGTCACATCCTCTTCTCCAGCACTGGGGGTTCCACCCCAGCCCTTTAATGCAAGGATGGCAAACACTGCTGGGAGCCTGGGATGGAAACTCAGGAGGCTTTCAGAGCACATGAGAGGTTTGTTTTTGAAGCAAACAACTGAATAAAAGACTAATATGCTTATAAATCTATACAGATTAAATTGCTTTTTTTACCATTTTCCATATTGAGAGAAAAATCAGAGTTAACTATTTTTTCACCTTCTACTCCAGTTTAGTTTTTAAGTGATGAGTACCACCACAGTACACAGCTCCTGTTCTTCACCCCCTCAAGGAGAATAATAAGGGACGAAGAACATCTGAAACAAAATGCGCTTTTTGGTTGGAGGCTTCCCCATCTTTTCACGCCTCTGAATCTGCAGCAGTTTTGTATCTCCTGTTCCTGCAGTAGCTGTTTAAGTCACCCCATAAATTTATTGTTACCAAGACAACAAGAAGCAGTTCAAAGCAAAGTAATAAGCATTTTTTCCACAGCTTCCCTCAACAGTATTTCTTCTGCAGGGACAGGGGGATTAGTCAACCATTCACGATGAAGGCAAGGGAGATCTGATCCCAGAAGATGGAGAGCAGAGTTGAGCCATCAATTATAGCACAAGACAACCTGGTTTCCAAAAAACAGATAAATCAGCTTGCAGGGGAACTAAAGATCCCAAATTGATTCTCCAGTAGTAGGGCCCAAAAAGCTGCTCCTGTGCAAACTACTGGCAAAGCCTCTACTACACATAAATTCCCACAACCAGCAGCACAGCTGCCAGAGGAAGCACATCCTCCATCCCTGCTACCAAGCTACTCACAGCAACTTCAAAAAGGGAATAAATCATTGTAGACATGTTCCATCAGCACCAAGCTGAACTCCTGCTTTTTAAAAACAAACAAACAAACAAACAAATCCCAGGATGCTGAAGCCTCTCAGACAGAACTGGTTTGGTAACAACCTTCAAATCCCGAATAAAGAAACCAGATCTGATGCCAGAGGTTAAGTTTTCAAGACAGTCTAACCAGGGGAATAGGTGGAACTTAAACCTTGTTTATAGTAAATCATGTGGACACCAAACCTTAATGATTCACTGCTTCAGAGCTCTGGCCTCCAACAATACAGACCAGTGTAATCTGGCACAGAAGGCTCACAAACCATTTGAGGTAACTATTAGTTAATTCTGCTTTTTTTTTAATAGTGTTTGCTGCCTGCTGAATAAACAAATTACTGGAGAAAAATCACACTCACTTCGGTCCAGCCAAAAGCTTTGCAATTCTACACAAGGTAGTGGTATTAGGAAAGTGGGAAAAGGACTTTGGGGTGTTTCTTGGGATAACTGCTGAGACATTAAAACACCCTGTTAAGTGACAGGACAGTGGCAGGGACTGCGAGACAGTTCTACCCACTGCAGCAATAGTTTCATGAACATACAAACCACCTGACTGTGAAATACGAATTTTTAAGCTTCAGTTTTGCACCTCAGGCATTCATATCTGAGCAGAGAGCTGGATATGAACTCCAAAGTGAGCCCCTCCAAACCCCCAGCCCCTCAGGGTGCCTGTTACCTCTCCCAGCTCACACTGGCACCACTGAGTTGAGGGAAAACCTCTCCTGGAGGTCACCCAAAGCACAGATAAACTCCCAGCCTGGCCTACAAAGCCTGGTTTGGGCTATCTTTCTGCTCTACTCACTCAGCTCAAAACACAAACAGAAAGCAGGACTCATCCTGCCCCGTTTCCAGGCACAGATAACCAACCAGCAGTGAGGCGACACCATCCCAGCACCACGCAGATCACTCGGGGGGACGGCTGAAGTCGGCGTCGATGCCGACAGACCTGAGGACCCCCCCGCTTCAAAGGCAGCAGGAACGGGTCCTACACATGGCCAATACCAACATCATCTCTATTCCACCCCAAAACTGACCTCCAGAAAGCTCTGGGGTTTTACCCTGCTGGGTAAGCGCTGCCTCTCTGCAGAGCGGTGAGAGGACACACACAGGCACGGCCGGTGCTGGGTTTGGTGCAGCCCTGCCCTCCTGCACTCCCCCTTCCTCCTGCACTCCCCCTTCCTCCTGCACCCTTCTGGGAGCACAATTTCATTCTAGGCCGAGTCTCTCAACACCAAAAACTGACAGACAGGGTCGAGGTGGGACAAGGGGGCAGTTTCTTCATGAGTTCCCAAGCACATAAACACCTGTACGAGCCAGATAGATACAATAATTAAGAAGCAACCTATTTCTAAGGGTAGTACTACAGCAGTACCCAGTAAGATTTGTCCCACATGATGACTTCGAGGGAGAAATCTCAGCTAGATTCCCAACTCCCACATCAGCAGCAGGCAATGCATGTGCAGCACCCAAATTTAGGGCCAGAGTTTCGAAGCGGGGGAAGTGTACTCCAAACTCCAGTGAGTGCATTGATTAGTTTTCCATTAACCACAAAAGGAGCCCAGAGTAAGTTGTTCCATTAGTAGATGCCTAAAACTAGGTGAGGTAAATCCCACCCCAATTACCACAGCTAATGAACTGACGGGCATGAGTCATGGGGGAGATTTATTTCAAGAAATTGCATTATGTTTACACAGCGATAAAAAAAAAAAAAATATACAAACCTGTTTTTCTTCCCAAAACAAGACCTATGGATCTTCATTTTAGGCACAGGTTGGGTCTCCTTTCCTTAACTCTTTTTTTTTTTTTATACTTGTGTCAGTAACTTCTGAACTCACCAACTCCCTCCAGTCTCGTGTAAGAGGAAGAGAGCCCTCACACAGATGGGGATGGATCGAGGAGGGAAAACTCTGCATCCAGAGGATGTAAATGTGAACTTAAACCATCCCCTCCATTTGCCTCCTGAACCACCTACACATTCCACACGCTGCCTTCCCCCCAAACTGCTGCTGTCTGAAGGGAGTGACGGGAAGGGAAAAGACACGGGGCACAAGGAAAACTATGGATGGGGAGTGGAGAACAGCATTATCTCGAGGCCTGTCTGTGAGCACAGGGCTCCAAGAAAGCTGCTCTCATCAGCCCCGTTGCTCAGGGAACAATTTGTTTGCTTATGCAACTCCTGTAGGTGCATTTCCCCTCCGAGCCAGGCTGGTGCCCTCGCGGGTCTGGGTTGTTTTCCATCCCCATCGGAGAGCTCCGTGACCTAATCGTTCCCAGAAAACTGAGTCAAGCACCACAAGCAGCTGAAAACCTTTTGATTTAGGGACCTGGTGGTCTGAATTATCTGCAAAATAGTACTTGCACCGTGTGAATGATATGAAAATATTCCAGCCCAGGCTTTGCTTTGGTATCCTGTGCTTCGTTTCTCCATGCATGGAGCGATCCCACCAAGCAGTAACACAGCAAAGATTATGGAGTTAAGATCCTAAAACACATTTGCATTCCAAAAAGCAAATATGATTTAAATAAAGAACTAAATGACACGCTTCACTGTGGCAGTAATAATAACGTTTTCAAATTAGGAACTGCTGGACTCAAGCTATACGTGGATTTATTTATTATTAGTGTTATATGTCAACTGCCTTTTTCATCCCTCTGATGGCAAGGGGCAGGTTTGCCCACACCAGTGGGACTGACCCTCCCAAGGTAACACTGAACCACTGGCCTTCTTTAAGGCTTTGAACACAAAAACATGTATGAGGAAGAAACTGGGGTATTTTTGAAACGTGGAACTTGTCCTACTGCTGGAAAAAGAGGCTGTTTTGTGGATAAATCCTGCTTTATTCCCTGAATACCATTCACATCCCAAAAATGTCCATCACTGGATTGTCTATATTTGCACCGATTCTCTTGCTACCACCTTTTCCAATGGGAATGCTAACAGGCAGACTGTCCATGGCAGAGACGATCCACGGATCCAGTCAGCTGTCTTTAAATGAATATTTCCCTTTTGTTAAAAAATTGGGAAAAATTACCCCAAATTAAAGAACCTCTAATTAAAAGGATTTCCTAAGCAAGTTTATTTAACGTAACCCACCAAAACAGCTCGTAAGGCTTAACCTCGAGCCAGCCGTGGGTTTAACAAGCTTGTGACCTCCACCCCAAAATCTTTATGCCCCTGTTTTGTTTTGTTTTGTTTTTTAACAAGCCCCTGTGTAAATACAAGACCATCCCCCTCGGAGCTCTCCCCCCTTTAATACCTGGGGATTTGGCACTACTTGAACCCAAAAGTGGTTCAAGACAAAACCTCCGCGTCTGGCCACGCTAAACCCTCCTGAAACCGGAGCCGGTTCTGAGGCGGCCGAGGAGCGGAGGGGGCAGAGGGTTGGAGAGGGGACCGGAGAAGGGGATTAGAGACAGACCCGAGAAGGGACCGGGTAGGGCGACCAGGGAGGAGAGAACCGGGAAAAGGTTCGGGGAGAGAACCGGGGAGGGGAGCCGGGGAAATGGATTAGGGTGCGGGACCAGGGGAAGGGTCTGGGGAGAGGAGCGGAGAGGAGAGGCAGGGAAAGGGACTGGGGTGGGGGAGCAAGGAGAGGGGAGCCGGGGAAGGGGGCTCATGGGAAGAGGATCAGGGGCAGGAGCCCAGGGAATGAAGCGGAGAGGGGGCCGTGCCCTACCCCGCGCCTGCCCCGGGCGCGGCCCCCGGTGACCTCCGGGCCCCACCGCGGGGCCCCGCGGGCCGGGCCGGGCCCTCAGCGACCCCCGCAGCCCTTCCCGGGGGCCAACCCCGCTCCCGCCCCGGCGCCCGCCGGGCCCTCCCGAACCGGTGGGGGGGGGTGAAGGTGACCCGGGAGCGCTCCGGGGCCGCGGCCGCGCTGCCCGCGGGCCCCACGCAGGTACAAAGGGCACGGCGGGGCCCGCGCTGCCGCCGGCGCCCCCTCCCTCCCCTCCCCTCCCTTCCCCTCCCCTCCTCCCGGCCCCCACTCACTCTCTCCGCGGCCGCGGCCGCACCAGGCTCCCAGCACCACGGCCACGGCCAGCGCCGCCGCCGCCGCCGCTCTCGCTCCCATCCCCGCTCCGCCACCGCCGCCGCCGCCGCCCGGCGCGAATCAGAACCCGCGGGGCGGGCGCGGGGGCCGGGCCCGGCCGAGCATCGCCGGTGGGAGCCCCGCGGAGCCCCCCCTTTATAGCGGCCGGCCCCTCCCTGCCCGCGCTGTCGGCCCCGGCCCGGCGGCCCTTTCCAGCGCAGGCCGGGCTGGCGGCGGCGCCCCGGCCAGTAAACAAGGGGCTGCCCCCGTCAGCTGCGAGCGGAGCGGGGCGGCGGCAAGAGGCGGCGCGGAGCCCGCGGGGACGGGACGGGATGGGCCGGGGGAGGAGCGGCGGCGGCGGCGGCACCGTCAATCCATCATCCCTCCCTCTCTCCCTCCCTCCTTCATCTATCCATCCATCCATCCTTAGTCCAGTCCCTTCATCCGTCCCTCGGCCCATCCACCTGCGAGACCCGCCGAGGGGGAGCCGCTGTGGCTCCGGTGGGGTTTGAGAGAGTAAAGCGGGGCTGTTCAGCGGCAGCGGCATCACGCCCTGGTTTCGAACTGAAAGAGAGGAGGTTGAGGTTGGATATTTGGGGAAAATTGGTGCCTGTGAGGGTGGGCAGGCCCTGGCACAGGTTGCCCAGAGCAGCTTTGGCTGCCCCTGGATCCCTGGAAGTGTCCAAGGCTGGGCTGGACAGGGACTGGAGCAACCTGGGCTGGTGGAAGGTGTCCCTGCCCATGGCAGGGGGGAAGATGAGATGAGCTTTAAGGTTCCTTCCACCCTAAACCTTTCTGTGGTTGTATGATCCTATCTTGCTGCCCCTGGCTTTGCCCGTGTCTCTCCTCCTCCTCTCATAAAGCATTTGGAGAGGATGAATTGCCCCTGAGATCCCCCCGGACAGAGCTTGGGGTGAGGGCACTGCCCACGCCTCAGCACTGCTTTCAGTATGACAGATCCCAAAGACCCACTGCAGATTTCTGGTTCTTTTTCCACTGGGATTCACCATTTGGTGCCTTTTTTAATCATCTCTGTGATGTGCTCAGGCTAAGCCATGACAGCACCTCTCCTGGCAACTCCCAGTAATTTTATCTGGCTCTTGCTTTCAGCCATTTCCGCAAGACAAATGAGTTATAAACTGTTGAAACAAAGCTTTTTTTTAAAATTCAAATATGCTTGGTAAATAGACATGCTTCTTTAAAATCTTTCCCTCACCATCTTCAGCTTACAAGAGATCTCACTTTGCTCACTCAGTGGCCTTGGGGCAGGCCAGTGGTGACCAGCAGGTCGATGTGCCTCAGCTCCTGTGTCTGGACACTGAATTGCACGATGGATTTACACCCTTTTAAATAATTTGTGTTACTTCTCCACGTAAAGAATCGCTGCAGCTGTCACAGGGCTGTGACAGAGCGGGAACAGGAGGGGGACTGGGCAGTGAAATCAGGGCTCCCTTGGTGTGATTCACTCCCTGACGTGGTTTGAGGTTTCCCTGCTGGACAGGACAGGGCTGAGGGCCTGATCTGACCAGCAGGAGCAGGATGAGCTGGGGTGGTACCTGTGTGACAATAACTCCATCTCGGCATTCGCAGGCTATTTAAATGCTGAGATGAAAGGCTCTGCCTAAGTGGGGATGCTCTCTCTGTCATCAGCACAGCAGATGTGTGTCTGCACAGCACAGGAGCTGTTGATTCAGCCCTTTGGTGTGTCATGGGAAGGCATTTCCCCCATCTCTGTCCATTTTCCCAAATCCCCACTGCTGCCTCGAGCTCACAAGTGCAGAGGGACTGGGAACTTCACTCATGCCAGAACACTTCAGGAAGTAAGGGCAGTTAAGGAATGGAAATAAACAACAAAACTATTGCCTTCCCTGCTTGCAAATTAACCTGCTTTATGACTGTAGACTTTGCATAAAACAGACAGAGCCAAACATCACCTAGACAGCTCGAGCTATGTGGAATTTATACTCTGACTCGAACAGCAATCTGTTCCTGCTTACTCACTTCTGTTCTTATTGCCTTTCATGTAATAATGATATCGGTTTACACATTGGCACAGGAGGATTAAGGGCTGCAGATTCATTATCTTTTCTCAAAACACTATTTTTAGTTTCTAATTACTGATTAGGAACATCGGGGTGCCGTTTTTCCGGCATCTTTCCCCTTACACTCACTGCTACATATTCATCATGCTACAGTGCACTTGGTTTGCAATCAGATAAACCAACAGGAGCGATGTGGGCGCAAAGAAACGAAGCCAACACCTGCTTACTCTTTTTTTTTTTTTTCCCTAATAGCTGCAATGCAGGCTCTTCTCTCATTTCTGATTCAAGAAACTACTAAAAATCAGTAGTTTGGTATGTTAAATATTGACAACAGTCACGTTTCTTTCTCTCCTCGATGGTTTAGTTAAAATAGCTTAGAAATAAGCAGTGATCAGTGTCTGTTGTGAACTGTGACACAACCCATGGGGGTTCAGTTCTACATCCTCCTAATAAAATAAATACAGAGAGATTTGCAATGGAGTGTATCCATCTACCTGAACCCACAAAACCTTATTTATTTTGGTTTGTCCCATTCCTTATTTAAATCACAGAATGGTTTGGGTGGGAAAGGAACCTTAAAGTCCATCCAGTCCCACCCCCTGCCATCGGCAGAGACACCTTCCACCTTCCAATCCAGGTGACTCCAAGCCCCGTCCAACCTGGCCTTGGACACTCCCAGGGATCCAGGGGCAGCCACAGCTCCTCTGAGCAACCTGTGCCAGGGCCTGCCCACCCTTGCAGGGAAGAGTTTCTTCCCAAAATCCCATCTAAACCTTCCCTCTGGCAGTGGGAAGCCATTCCCCCTAGTCCAGAGTCCTCCTGCTCTGCCCCAAAGACGCTTCCACATCAAACCAACCCTAGTGGACCAACCTGCTGACAGATCCCAGCCCCTCCAGGTCAACACTGCCAGGAACTGAAGTCCTTGGAAGCCCATCCCTGGAGCAGGAACCCCCTTTGCAGGAGTGAAAAGGGAAGATGACTTCGTAAACCAGCTTGATGTTCCAGCAGTGACATCCTTGTAGTGACACAATTGCACGTGCAGAGAGGACATGGCTCAGCTTCCCCACCAGCAGCATTTGCTGAAAGCTTCACCCCTTGAAAACTGAACTTATCTTTCTGGGCACTGGAACCAAACACACATGGGTGGGTTTAGGTTGGGTGGTTTTAGTCACACAAAATAAAGTTTCTTGCTAATTAATCGGTCGGGGAATAGTCAAGGAACACAAACTTTGTGCCCAAAAAGGAGCTTTAGAGGAGCTGACTCACCAAGAAGTTATATTGGTACCAGTTCTGTTTAAAGAACAGAACAGCTGAAAAGCAGTTCAGGAGCTGAAGCCACAGAGCAGGCCAAGCTGAGGGCCAGAATTCTGCTTCACCCATTCAACAGTGGCCTTCTCTTAACAACAGGGTGCAACTGCCTGGGTGCAGAGTCACCCCATGGCTGGAGTTGCTCTGTTTTTGTTGATTTCCAGTCATATTTTCCTCCTCACAAGTTTCTCACCGTGCAGAAGTCACGTTGTCCAGCCTTCTGTTCCTTTGAAGATGCAGCAGGGTTGCTGTTGAAGCCAACAACAGCCAAGTCTCCACATCACTGGCAGGATGTTGCTGCAAAGGTCACAGAATTGACTTCTTGGTGACTAAACCTTAAAGCTGAGAGTACAGGAGAGCTGACCTTGGAAAATTATCTCATCCTGTTTAGAGTCACACAGAACCATTTGCCAGATCTCTTAATATAAAATATTTCACGTCACGGATTGACAAAGTTCCTTTCTTACCCTTCCTTCCGTCCACACCAAATCCGATAAGTGACTTTTCTCTCCTGGATGGGAGAAGGCTCAGAGGATGGAGATCCGGTCACTTTACGTGCTAAGGACACAAGTCCCAGCTTTTTTACTATTGAAACAGGAAACACTGTCAGATCCTTCTGGAGAATTCCATTGTTACAGGAGCAAATAAAACTTTGGGCCAAGGTGAAAATGGCAGAGGGCATCTCTCTGCTACATGCAGGTCAAAGACCTTGGAGATGGAGGATGCAAAGGAAATCACAGCTCTCTGTGGCCAATGGCAGCACTGCCTCATTTTATGTATTTCTTCTTGTTTTTCCCCCAGTTTCTGGGTTAATTGAGTTTGATTTTTGGGTGTCACAGAGGCAGACGGAATATTGGACTTACTTTCCATTCCTTGCCAGAACATTTTGGTCTAATTCAGCATCAAACTCTTCAACTCGAAAGGGACCCCGTGACAGTTCAGTGGTGAGGGGGGCCCAGATGTGAGACAGACAGACAGACAGACAGACTGTCCTCATCCTCCATCCTTCCCTGAGCCAGCCAACCACGTGTGGTTTGCACAACCTGCTGCCAGGCACCCTGTTCTTTATCAGCCACCCCGTGCGAGGCAGCGGCCGCAGCCGTGTCACCCACTCAGGACACGGGCACACCAGGCTCCTACACCACTTCTACCCACAGCTCACCCCCTCCCTCTCTGCTTCTGTTCTTCCTTACACGTTTTTTGTTGGTCTACAGTATAATTTGGGGGGACTGAGGGCCCCGCTGGCAGCGGGGATTTGCAAACCCTCGGTGCTCCTCGCTGCTTTATCTCCCGAGCTGCATTTTGGATGACCCAGAACTCCCAGTTCCTGTTTGATAACCGGTTTGTTGTGTCGCTGGGAGACACGCCCTCTCTCTGTAAATGTTACAAATCAGGCGTATCTGATCCATTATTCACTAACTGCTGCTGCTTCCCACTTCCAGCTCCTATTAGAGGGAGCTGCTCATGCCAGAAATGTCACAGTGGCATCATGTGACAGGTGGTATTGATTTAGCTCCGGCAGGGTTTAATGTCACTCCTGTTCAGTGGGACACAGGGCGGGAGCACACGGAGCCTCGGCGAGGGGGCAGGTCAGGGCAGGAGCTCCCAGCCAGCCCAGGCACGGGCTGCAGGACTCGGGAATGGCCTCAGGCAGGATCTGCTGCACACCAGAACATCTGAGGATCTGCCCCCAGCTGCTACAGCATCGTGGTTACAGTTTTCTTCCCGATTTGCAGGATCCCGGAATGGTTTGGGTGGGAAGGAACCTTAAAACTCATCACCCTACTGCCATGGGCAGGGACACCTTCCACCAGCCCAGGTTGCTCCAAGCCCTGTCCAACCTGGCCTTGGGCACCTCCAGGGATGGGGCAGCCACAGCTGCTCTGGGCAACCTGTGCCAGGGCCTGCCCACCCTCACAGGGAAGGATTTCTTCCCTACAAGAAACCAGATTGCAGTATTAATCACAAGACTCAATTCTGAGCTTTCATAGCACGTTTAGAGCAGACAATGAGAGGGGAGTGCCACAGTGAGCAGCCCGGAGCACAAACCTGCTCTTGCCCACTCTCTCGTTTTCACTCTTTACAAGATACTCCCTTTTGGCCCAACAGCTGCCAGTTTGGGAAAGCTGCTCCCAGCCTCTCGAGTCTGGGGCACTGAGACTGCAAAACAAACCCCAGGGAACACGTGCCCAAAACAAGCTGGGACTGCCCGGCCCCAGGAGCCGTCACATCCAGCCCTCTGCTCCTGCCATTCCACCGGCACACAACAACCCTTCCAGAACATCCTTCCTGGCTGGGACTGAGGACACTGCTGAAACACTGAGGATTGTTAACACACAGTCTCTGCCACCAAGGAGGTTTGCCAGAAAAGCTTAGACTGACCCAGAGTTCCTGCTGCTGCCAGACTCTGAATCAGTGCATTCACCGGCCTGACGTGACCCAAAAGAGCCTCCAAAAGATTTTTCATTTCATTTTCCTTACTGTCTCAAAATAGGTAGCCTGCCAAGAAGCCAAGCGGGGCCCAGCCCTGTGCCTGATAAACATCTCTCCATCAAGATTTCCCAAGCTTTTGGGAAAGTTGGGCAACTCTCAGAGAGGGTGATTTCTATATATAACGTTATTCTGTGGAGAGCAGCACAGCAGAGCCCCGTGCCATGGCACGGAGCTGGGGCAGCAGAGCATACACCACCCCCCATAGGTTAGTCCAAAATAAAAGCTGTCATTCATCTGGGAAATGTCACAAAGCCTTGAGTCATTGTTTATTCTAACTACTACCGGCACCCATCTTCAGAGCGGTGTTGAGTTACTGTAATTGCTAAACGAACTCGGGGAAAGCCAAGACAACGACCCCGTGTGTGCAGGACGAGGGATTGGTTGGGATTGGGGAATGTTCCCTTCCTCCATCCAGGCAGACAACCCCCAGGAAGCTGAGGCTCAGTGCTTAACGGCCGCTGGAGATAACAAAAGGTGTTATTGGTTACAGGGTTCAATCCTGGCAGCTCATCCTTCACAATAACAAACACTCACGAAGCATTAACGGTCAGAAGTTAAATAGTTTCTGGACTCACTCTGTTTCTTTGTGAAGCAGCTCCTGTGACTTGGAGGGGTGGATGTTTTCTTGGGGACAAGCTGTTACTGCTAGTTCCCTTTCAGGTCTTTCCAACCCAGCTCCTAATTTTTAAGTGCCAAAAATTACAGGCAACACATGGCTGATGGCAACTCAGCTTTTAACTTGTCTGCAATGATGCACCAAACCTTTTGCAAGCTAGGAAAAAATAATTTATTTTCAAGTACTGAAGAAGATAATGTTATAGGCTGTGAAGCATTGATGTTGCATCCCAAAAAAATCTCACCCACAAAACTCATTCCAGCACCACATTCAGCCTCTAAGAGAAGAGCTCGGCACTGAAATGCCTGCAGGGAAAGTAGTAAACAATTAGAACTGAAAAATAATTTGGTGACACAGCATTGACTAACGAAACACAGTGAAATTTCAAATGTTACAACTGAAGAAAACAACTGGGAAAAGCAGGAATGTCCATAAATTGATTGCTACAACTATAGATCTCTATTATAAAGTTCAAGGTAAGCAACAAATTTGCATGAACAGGAGCGTCTCACACAGATCTGAGCAGCTGGAAATAAAAACCTTCTGGAAGTGAATGGCACAGTAAATACCAAACATCCTGTTAGATGAAGTGAAATACTTTCATGCTACAAGTTATGTTACAAGTGTTAACTGTGCTCATTACCACAGCTGGGGCTGACAGGACAGAGCACAGCCTGGTGCTTTGGGATGTGTTCACAGCAAAGCCAGATTTTCCTAAGAACCCTAAGAATGGTGACAAACAGCTCTCTCCCCACCTTTTCCTGGACTGGGGCTGCTGGGATCACCAGCCAGGCCTGGAACATCCCATCTGGTGGTTCCAAAGAGCAGCAGAAATGGCCAAAGCACAGCTGGGGTCAGCTGGTGCCCTCCCCTCCTCCCTGGGACACACCTGACTCCTGAACACCCACCCTTCCCAGATGGGCCCTCCACAAACACCAGCACAGCTACAGAAGAGTTTGCTTTCAGCTTACCACGAGCACCTACAAAGACTCTGACACTGTCACACAAACCCTCGACCAGAATGATTTGTTTTAAGAAAAAGGCTTAGTATTTTTTTTATTATTACTTCCACCTAGAAGACACCACCTTCCTTCTGCTCTCATCTTAAAGTGAAAACATGTTTGCACAGGTGAGGTCTGTGTTTACAGTTCTGTGGGGCAAGGTCAGGGTGTTTTCTTGGTGCAACGGCATCAACGTAACAACGAGAAGTGAGAACGTTTGCACGTACAAAAGGGAAGCAAACACTGCAACAGCCAGCAACTCCAGACCTATAATAAGTCTAAACTGAAGAAGACTGTGAAGTCCTAAGTCCCAAATACCCATCTGGGAGAAAGGTGAGCCTGAGAAGGGTTTTACCTGTTGGAAACTCTGGATCTGAGCCAGGCAAGTACCTCAACGGCAGAATTCTCTTCCTGCCCCTACAGCTGTGTATGTACAGAACTGAAATTAAATATCCTGTTGGCAGCAAGTCGTAGGTCAGTACAGAGAAGCTGTGAAGAAAGGGTGTAAGACTTCACCTGTTGTTTATATTCACATTGGCTAAATGCCTTTTAGGAGTCGTAACATTTGCCACGACCACGCTAAAAATGACTGTATGTACCCAGTAAAGACCTGGTCAGCAGCTTCGTGTAAACTCTCAGCAGCAGCAACAGTCATCAGGTAAAAAGTAACCAAGTATCCAAGTGTGGAAAACCTTCCCCGTGAACCCAAGCCTGCACAAGGAAGGGATGCAAAGGTGGGTAGGCCTTGGACAGCCTCTTTAAGGACATGACAAGTGGCAAAGACATTGACTGCTGACAGTTCTCACACCACCTGAGCTTTCCAGCTGCACTGCTGGCAGCTTTAAATGAAATTTAAAAAAAAAGCATCATTTTAATTTGGGGAAAATCCTGATGAAGAGAATCATGCTGATGAATATAAAGCAAACTACAATCAACATTATCCACAGCAGCCAGTTGACCGATTTCTTCGCGTGCTGCTCCAGGCGGTCGGATTCATCCTTGAGCTTCTCAAAGTTCTGGTCTGCCATCCTGAGGGAATGGGACAGTGTCTGTGGAGCAAAGAGAGCAAACGGTGTCAGACTCAGAGCTGCACGTGCTGGCTGACATTTCCTCCAACAGAGGAAAGGTTCAACCACACACAGCAGCAGACAGGTATTGCCTCCGGTCTTCCCACTCTAATCCCGCCTGGAATTGAGTTACAGGTCCAGGATTTCGCTCATGAGCACTCCAACCTCCTGGGTTGGAAAGCTGAGGGGTTACAGCCTCAAGGTGTGCTACCTGGTTGTCCTGTTTGATCACGTTCTGTGCAGCCAGGGTGTTGTTCTTGAGGCTGCGAGCCAAGCTGAGCATTTCCTCAGCCAGCTTCTCCTGCATGTCCTGGTGGTGCTGCAGCACAGCATCCAGCTCCACTGCCGACTGCTTCTCGTCTGACTGGAGGCCTCTGCAAGAGCACAAGGGGAAAAAAGAAGGATTTGCACTTCCCTGTGGGTCAATCTCCTCGGATTCTGCAACTCTACGGTACAACAAGGCCAGTGAAGTCAGTTGAAGCCATTATAGTTTGGTTTCTATCAGCTGACACTTCACCCAAATCAAGGTACATCTGGGATTTAAAGACTACTGGGAAAACAGTTTCCAAAACGCTGAGCACTGGAATGAGAAATTTTAACTTACTTCCGCTTCCTTATGTTCAACTCCTCAGAATCTGGGGAAAATAATAATTAAAAAAAAGAGTTAAATTCGTGTTTTAGCACGTTATAAATTCCCACGCAATCACAGGCTGAAGAAACAAGTCTTCTGTAAGGGATTTTCAGCTGTCCAAATCCTACTTGGCCTCTATCCCAAGGAATATGGATGTCAAATGCCTACCTGCTCTCCGCAGGGAAAAAAAGGACACGTAACATCAAATGAGGGAAAAAGAAAACCCACCCAGATGAATCACAGCCCTGAGGGCAGGGTTTAAGCCCTGTGTATCTTGGTGTTCTTTCAGGACACGTTAGATTGGCCCAGCTCCAGCCACTATAACAGTAGCCATGGAAACAAGAAATGAATTCCTCCCAGTTCCCTACATGAAAAACGTGGCTGTGTATTCCAGAGGAACCGAACAACGCCTGCTCCAAGAGCCCAAAATCACATGATTTGCTCAGAGCAGAAGGGGACAGGAGCAACAGTAAAGGTAAATTGTCCTGGCTAATTCTGTAATTAGAATGTCTGTTTCTGTACAAATTCTACAAGAAGAGGTTCCTGCAAGTCCCTGCTACCATTGATAACACTTCTGCTTTTATCTGGGTTTTGTTTCGTGTGTTTTGAAAATCTATATCGAAAAAAAGTGAGCCACTAAATTAAAAAAACACACACTTTGGGCAACCTCTTAACACCTGACCTTCCTCCTCCTTTCCCTGTAAGACTCAGGTTGACTAAAGGTAGAGAAAACAACAGATCAAACTCACCATTGGTAGCCAAAGGGTCCTGGGAGGCAGAAAGAGAAGCAAAACAGCAGATTACAAAGGGTGAGTGGTAAGACACAATCCTGCAGGCCTGGCAGAGTGCCTGTGCCCAGGATCCGGACCACCCAAACTGGAAAAAAGGCGACTCCCCACCCAGGCTGGGACACAGCTCAGGGCACAGTCACCCGAGGCAGCTGAGGGCAACAAGGCCAACCTGTAAAATACCAGCAAAGCAGCAGCAGCAGCACCAAACCTACTGTACCAAGCAGCTCGCTCCTCATCTGGCCCGTGCAGCGAGCCTTGGTCTGCAGATGGACTGTTTTGGTGGCCGGGGTTCTCTCCTTGGCCGTTGTGGGGGTGCGCCCGGGGGCCAGGAACTGGTTTGCCAGAGCCTTCTCCGTCGATGAGGACTGTGAGGGGGAAGCAGCAGGGAGAAGTCACGGATACCACACGCTCTGCAGCACCTCTTTTTAACAAAACCTGGATCCAATATATCTATTCACAGTTTTACAAGGGCTGCCTAGTAAGACTTTAACAACTATTATTTTGAGATGTAAGGTAGAGGCCAACAAAGGAACCAAACAACAGGGTGAATATAAGCAGAGAACACTGAAGTCTTTTCAAGCTGAACTAGTAGATCTTACCAATTTTTCGGCTTCTAGGAGTCCCTTTAGGAAGTCCACTTTGCGAGAGTATTCATTCAGCAGTTCTGGGGCTGGCTTGCTATTGGAGTTGAAAGATAATAACAAGAAAACCAAAAGTTAACTGGTGTTTTCCACTGTTCAGGTGACTTCCAAAATAAAATAAGGCAGAAAACACCAATATATGGTTCTTCAAAGAAGGTGTAGCCTCGGGAGAGGAATACACTTGCAACCTTCTGCAAATCACCTTTTCCAGGACAGGGAGAGCTCAGAGCACAGGCATTTCCACAGGGAAGAATATATTGTGGTGTTTGTGGGCTATGGCAACTTACAGATAAGATACTATTGAACCAAGGAATCACTAAGGTTGGAAAAGACCTCCAAGATCATCAAGTCCAACCTTCGACTGAATCCCCCTCATTCCCACTAAACCACATTACAAAATGCCACGCCCACTCTTTTTTTAACACTTAAAAGGGATGGTGACCCCACCACATCCCTGGGCGGCCCGATCCAACGCTTAACCAACTTTTTTAGTGAGTAATTCTTTCCTAATATCCAACCCGAACTTCGCCTGGCACAACCCGAAGCCGCTCCCCCTAAACCACAAATCCACAACGGGCACCCCCAGGGGCTCACCTCGACTGCTTCTTCAGCTCCCGCAGCATGTCCTCGAGGGCACCCACATACTGAGGGGGAAAATGAGGCTTTAAGCGACAGCAATAAGGGGAAGCAGCCGGTGTCGCAGAGGCGGTGGATTTAACCCCACGGAGCGGGTTACTGAGGGGCCGGGGGGGGAAGGGGGCTCACCTTCTCCAGCCGCCACTCCTCGGGGTCCCGCCGCTCCGCCGCCAGCGCCTCGCACCGGCTCAGCAGCCGCATCAGGTTCAGCTCCAGCCGCGTCGCGGCCATGGCGGCACCGGATCCTCCCTCAGGCGCCGCCCGCCATCTTGGGGCGGGGCGAGGGGCGGGAAGGGAAGTGCCGGGCGGGCGTTACCGCCCCGGTTTATTTAAAAAAAAAAACCAACCAAAACACCCCCAATCAACCCGAAACCGCCCCACAAAAGCAAGCCCTGCGCAGGGACGCAGGGGCGGCTGCAGCTCAGGGCGCTGTGGTGGCTGAGCTGAGCTCTTCCCTCACTCCAACATGGCGCAGCCCCGTGAGGGGCTGGGGCACAGACGCGGTGATGAACGATGGCCCCTCGCCCTCAGGTGGGCCCCCACACACAGGTGAGGGGTGGGGAGGAGGAGGAGGCAGCGCCGTGCTGGCTCGTGGTTTACTCCAAGAGCACCAAAACCCTCCTCGATGCCGCCACAGCCTTGTTAGTGCTTCCCCCACGCAGAGCTTTCCCCATCCTTTATCAGTACTTCATAAAGGCAGCAACACCGATTAAAGGCCTCCCTCAGAGTGAACTGCTCATTAGACAGACACTGATAAACTAACACATTTTTTTTTTTAAAAGTGCAACGTTTTAATAAACTTCTTTATACATTTTGGTCTCAGTTAAGGCTATTACGTTAAACAGTTCTGTAAACCACACAGAAAATTGTCATTAAAAAAAATTAAGGCAACACACAATGACCTAAACTCACTGTTGGTCCCATGAGAGTCCATCGTAAGGCAAATGAAAAAAGGCACGGCAGCGGAATGGGGGGGCTTGTTTCCTGTACACTCAACCCACATATTTTACTCAGCATTAAATTTTAGGGTTTTTTCAAGGTTTTAATTTAAAGTGGAGAACATTTGCTTTAAACAACCTTGCTGAACCTTTACAGTACTGTACATTTCCAGGTTGCCTTCCTGGCACCTACTTAAAGACAAGTTTACAGCCTTTCAAAGGGTTAAAGCCAAAAGCTGTGGTCAACTTCAAAAAAAAAAAGTCCGGAGAGCTGAAGCATTTCACTTCTCCATACAGGGAATGTGAGAGTAAGGATCTGAGAACCTCCTTTTGACTTTCGCAGTCGGTTCGTATTCATCCACGAGTTCCTGAGCGTGGGCCAGTGCAGACCCTTGTGCAATGTACACCGAGTGGATGCTGTCAGTCCGCCTTGCTGGCTGCTCCCTGCGTCTCACCACCCGAGACTCCTCCTTAGCAGGAACCCCGCCCTGGGACTCAGTACATTTGAACATCCCAGGAGGGAGTTTTATATTCGCTGTCGGCATCACTGGAGTTCGACGGGGCACTTTCATCTTGGACAGTGTTAGAGAGTATCTGCGCCTTGAAGCCAGGGATGCGGAGTAGGAATGTGAAGAGGTTTGCGGGAGAGAAGGCACTTTGCAAATGTCTTTGGCAGGCAGGCTGGAGCTCTGAGCACGGCAGTGTAATCCAATAATTGCTTTAAAGAAACAAGATACTTAGAGACTGATAGCAGTAACTTGATACAAGCCACCGTGAGCAGGTAACATCTGCTCACCTGGCTGTACGCGCAGCTGAAGATGGAGAATAAAAAAAAAAGCACACACTACCTTAATACTGACCTTCGGTATCCATCCTGCCTGTCCTGTCCTCCAGCAGGCTCTCCGTGCTCGCCGACGTCTCCGAGTCCACGTTTTCCTCATCGGAGCCCCGCTGGTCGAGCTCAGGTAACCGGTAAGTTATGTCCTCCCTGCATCAAACACAGGCTGGAGCACTCGACCGAGACAACGCTTCCCACACGAGCTCGTGGTCAGAGGGAAAGTATGCAGTCATTAAATATTAATTCTCGTGGTATTTTCTCTCGGCTAGCCCTTTGTGTTTTCCTTTTTCCCCTCTACAGAACGGAACAAGAACCTTTTGGACAAAAGGTATCCTGCTTTTATGCTACCCAGGTGAAGGGGGACTTACTTTTCTTCTTTTATGGACTGTAAGCGATCGATGAGAATCTCCTTTTCCCGGTTATTGGCTTCAGAAACTTCTTCGTCCTCATGCACTGAGTCCAGCTCTGAAGTGCCACTCTCCTTTCCTTTGACCTGAGAGCTTTTACTCTGCAAGACAAATTCATGGGTAACACTTCTCAGTCACAACCAGCTACACGAGCCTTGGTCTGCAAGTTCCAAGGCAGAAGACAAATGAGTGGGTCAAAGGAAAGGCTGAGGGAATTGATGAAGAGCTGTTAGTGATCCATACAAATGTTTCAAAGAGTAAATCTGTTCACCTGGTTTCTGGGGCTTTGTTACCTTTTCTAATCTGTCAGCCTCAGCTTAGTTTTAGTAGTCACTCACAAGTAATATTATTAAATCCAATAAAAGTTACATACAGTGTCTATAAAACACCAGGTGATGACAGAACAGGCCAGCAGCCACGCATGCAGTCTGGGGGTGGGGAGTTGTGCCAATACATGCAGCCTTGATTGTTTAAAAGAGTGTTTAACACCAAGTTACAGCATGTGCAGTGAGTACCTCAGTCATGCACTAGAACCAGAGGAAAAGCCCATGCACTACACCCAGGCAGTTGTACGTACCAGCTTCCCCTCGTAAGGGGAAGAGAACCCCAGTTTTACAGGCCAGAGCTAGAGAGAGATGGAGACCAAATTCACTGTATGCCACTTCTGGTCAGACACAGTTTGGTTGGTTTTAATCAGTACAACAAAAACAAAGAATAAGTTTATTTGCCCTACTAGGACACAACATATTTTTTGCCCACCAGCCATCTCTGGAGTGAAGGAACTCTTCTGCCATGTCAGAGGCTCAATCTTGGTTCTACTGAGGGAATTATATGGGAATAGATTTTGATCACTGCAAGAGCAGATCCCCACACCCCTGCACCCTTCATTTACCAGACTCCAGGCTAGCTGTATATTTAGCTCCTACCTACAGCTCTGGGCAAGTCCAAATCCCTTTTCTTCTAACCTTGCAACTGATTTTTGACTTACTGAATGAGATGCACAGGATAAATAAGCAGTACTTCATTCCCCCAAATCTGGTGGGATGATGGGTTTGTGTCAATGCTTACCGTGTTCTGCCGGAGCAACGAGAGCCGTCGGAAGGCGATGCTCTCAGCTGCTTCCAGCTGACTGATCTCATCCATTTTTATCTTGTACTTCCTTATCTGTTCCTTGATGAGCATCTCTACACACCTGGGAAAAAGGGCAAGAGCGTATTGAGCAGCCTCATACCAGAAAAGCTCTGGAACAACCACGGTGGGATGAGATGGCTCTCCTGGCCTGGGGGTTTTTGTCACACACAGAGTGTCCCAACATATCCCTTACAGGTGGCACTGCGTGGTGACAGGGTGGAGAGTCCAACACAGCAAGCAGAACAGGACAGGTAATGGTTAAATGCAATGGCACACATTCTTCCTGGAATAGCCAGAGCCTCCCACGCTGACTGTACACAATGGTGAGCAGACACACATTACCAAGGCTGCCAACAGCTTCTGCTGCTTCTACCTGTCTTCCCTGTGCTGGCACAGAATGAATCTGCAACTGCCCTTTTCCACCTCTGTGGTCAGTAAAAAGTTACAAAAAGCTGTCATTTTTCAAACTCTGTTTTCACTGGAGGCAGATGCACAGCGAGGGCACTCAGAGAGCCAGAGCTGCTGGAGGGTGAGAACAGAGAGGATCAAGGACAGAACCTTCCCCAATTCAAGGAACAACACAGAAGAAATTATCAGGGAGTTTGATGTATACAGGAGACAGCTTAACTCTCTATCATACTGCATCTCAGTAAAACAGATGATTAACATAGAACCCACTCAAAAGATTATCTTGACGTAAAACAAACCTGATATTTAAGATTTCTAAGTCATCCTACTTCATGCTTTGTAAACTGGAGACAGGTGGAAGGTCTGAGAGGGGCATATAAATTGGCAGCACCAGCAGAGCCAGGATTCAGCAACTCTTCACCCTCAGTTTGTCAGCTCGATATGAACAAGGTCATAACAAATGCAGGCAGTGGTACTGGCCTTCCATCCCCCTCCAAAGCACTTTCTTGGAGAAAGTACTTTTCAGCAGACTGCTAAAACTTACATGGTTGTTTTTGAAACATCCTTCATGCTGGTTAATGGGTCAGAGGTATCTGGACAGCGCAGCAGGCACGGAGCAAACACGATGGCCAGGGCGTTGGGGGACATACGGTTGACATCTTCTATCAAAGCCACTCTGAAACCCAACATTCAGGACAAGAGATTTTAAGCAAAGCTTGCTAGAATACAAGCAACCTGATCACACCTTGCCAGAGTTCCCAAATAACGTGCAAGGAGGCCTCTCAGGCACTCTGTGCACGTAGCAGTTAAAAAAGTTAAAATTATTTCACACCTACTAAGTAGACAAAATCTTGTGCATCAGAGAAAGGAGCAGGGAGTCAACCAGGTTAAGCTAGTCTGGTAACCTCCCAAAGCATGTCTGATGATTCAGTGTTTCATCTCCAAGAACCATGCTCAGAGGGCACTTGGAAAACCCTCAGGTTCCTTGGGTAAGAGCAGCCCCTTTTCCAGCACCATTTATCCCTGCTCCTAACACTTGCATACATTCATTCATCCTTCATTATGTTCCATCTGGATAAATCCTGGTGTCCAGATGATTCACCAAGGCTGTGAGATCTACCTTTTATCTCCAAAGCTGTTCTTACCTCATCTGATCCAAACACGCCAGGTTGTAAAAATCACCCTCTATCTGTTCTCAAGCACAATTATCAACTTCAGTTCTTTCATGTCTAAACCAGCAGCACAAACCCCACACTGGCACTTAAGGAGTTCAAGACTTTAAAAAGCTTCCAAGAAGCACTCAGAGTCACACAGTTTCTCTACAAATGAAGTAATTACACTCATTACTTGACAAGATGGAAGATGAGTCGCTCCAGGGTATTATGATTTGCTTGTGGGAGCTGTTCCAGGACACTGTAAATGGCACAGAGTTGCTCCTGTTTTTCCGGTAGTTCTGCCCAAAGGGAGAAAGCACAAGGTGATAAATGCTCTGCAAGGCTAGTGGAAAGCTAAAATTCCCAAATTCTTAGAAGTCTCACTGTCATTTCATTCACCAACTGCTATAACTGAATGCT